TTAACTGGGTGTGGTGGCATGCGACTGTAGTCCCAGCTACTCTGGAGGCTGAGGCAGGAAGATCGCTTTAGCTCAGGAATTCAAGGTTACAATGAGATATTGACTGCACAACTGCATTCTAGCCTAGGCAACAGAGCAAGACCCTGTCTCAAAAAAAAAACAACAACCAACCAAAATCAATGGAGCCAAAAGGTGTAGTTCTTAAATTGGGGGAAAAGTTATTTAAAAATAAAAAAATTTCTGAGCAGGGGAAAAATTAAAAAGGTTTCCAGTTCAAGAAAGATAATAGAAAACATGCATTAATATCTTGTTACCTAAATCCCGCTAAAGTGGCATAACACACACACGCACACACACACAAATACACCAGTTAGCAGGGCTAGAAAACAAAAGGGGCCAAAAGAAGGCCAGAATCATAGGAAAATTTTGGAAAACACAAAATGTACACTAAAAAAATTAGCAGAGCTAGAGAGCTTACATCTCCATAAAGGCAGAGAAGAAAACAGTCTTTAAAAAGTTAGGTGTTTTTTCCCCCAGCACAACCACAAAATAATCCAGAACTGACAGACGGTACTGGAAGACGTGAATTTAGCGTAGCAGCCAGTAAATTAAAGAAAGGTGGCAAAAGAACTGAACTCTATCTTGGAGCACTTGAGATCCCATTTTTACCCCCAGGTTAAGAAAGAGGCATTAAATATCACACCTGAGGAACCACATGGCAACATGATAAGTAGCCCAAACATCCAGAAAGAAAAACTCCCCAAACACATAGAGGTAAAGATTCACACCCAGCTTAAGATTCAATGCGTCAGTTGAGAAGTATCTTCAAAGTATTAATATGAAATGAAAATAATGAAAAAGGAATCACATTAGGCACATCCTAACAAAATTTTTGAACTAACGATGTCAAGAAGATCCCAAAAGTTTCCATGGGGAAGCTACCAATAAGCAGCAAGAATCAGGTCAACTTCAGGTTTCTCAGCTGAAAGACTGGATGCCAAGAAACAATGTTCTGAATTTACTGTAGCCACTGACTCAAAACACAGAATTCTAGTATTCAAGAAATTCCAGTATTCAAGAATGAACACTAGAATTCAAGACAGAAAGTTTACAAACTGCAATCCATTTGAAAGAATTAGTCAAATATACACTATACGAAAATATTTAATCCACAAGAAAAAATTCAATCAGCATAAATTATTATGAATAGAAAACAAACACAAAAAAAATTTCATAAATAAGAAACTATCAGATACAACAGACACTATCAGGTTTAAAAATAATAAAACTACAATACAACAAAAACCAATTACATAGAAAATGTGAAAATTATAGGATGGAAAAATATCCCAGTCAAGATGAAAAGCATTAAACAGGATATAGATTCAAATGGCATACCAATGTAAACAGGACACTGGTGTACATAGTTTTATCTTATACCACCAATAAGATATAAATATTCATGAACATTTTTACAATGAGTAGAATAACATCAAAATAAACCAAAACAAAGATGATTTTAAAAAGATTGAAAACTTCATCACAGCAGATTTAAAAATACATCTTTCAAAAACTAATAGAAGTTGAGATAAAAGGGGTAAATATTTAAAATATATGTAGATATATAAGAAAATATATAGACACAAAAAATGCAAGGATTAGAAAACAATTAAAACTGGTACTTTTTATAAATGATATGATTAAAAATAAACAGAAAAGAGTTTAGCAAGAAAGATGGAAATAAAATCAAACTACAAAATAACTCCCCAAGCAACCACAAACATAAAACATAATTTTAAAAACTTTATTTAGTACCTAAGTTATGTAAGAGAAATCTTGAAATTTTCTTTTTAGAGAAAATTATAAAACTTTAAAAGAAAAACAAATATCTTGTGGATGGGCAAACAGAGCAGTGGAAAAGAACGTAAGCTATATATGATACATGAGTGATAGTAGTGCAGATGATCAGAAGGTAAGATTATTCAATAAGTTGTGCTGGGAAATTTAATAACCCTGATGGGAAGTAAAAAGAAATGGAATCCTCACATCACAGTATAAAAAGCAGCAAATAAATCAATTCCAGATGGATTAAATTTTTTTTCTGTGTGAAAAAAAGCCTTCAAATTTTTAGAACAACATATGGGAGACTATTTTTATAACATTAGAGTAGGGAAGGATTTCTTAAACAACATGTAAAAAGTATTAACTATAAAAGAAAGGAATGATAAATACAGCTTCATTAAAAGTAATAAACTGTTGTTCAAAGGACACAATAAAGGAGTGTAAAAACACACCATAATTGGGGTTTTATGCATTTTATGAAGATACTGTGACATGCACCTGATAAAAGATTAATGTATGTAGAGATTACCTATGGGGAAAAGACATTCCAAAGAAAAAAGAACAAGACATTGAAAGGAATTTCAGAAAGGAGGCAACATGAATGGTGACTAGACATACAAACTTCATTAGTAACCAGGGAAATGGAAATTATAATGAGACACTATTTTATATCAGATGGGCAAAAATTAAGAAATCTAAAAATTATGTTACAAATGCTGGTAGGAAAATAATAAGTTTTAACTGTTTTGAAAAACAGTTTGACAACAAAGTGAAAAGTTAAATATGTATATATGCTATGCTTCATCAATTTGACTTATAGGGATAAAACCTAGAGAAATTCATGCATATGTAGCAAGAGGGTCCTATAAGAACATTCATAACAACAGTGTTCAAGAGGGAAAAAATGGAAGAATTCCCAAGTCCACTAACAGAATAAATGAATAAATAATGAGTTATTTCCTGCAATGAAATGATATTGAGTAATCAATAAATAAACCCCAGTGACATTTAACAACAAAGATTCTTAGAAACAAACGTGCTGTGATAAAAGCAAGTCACCCAAGACTATATATGGTATGATATAATTTTTATAAACTTCAAGAACAAGCAAAACTAAATTGGCAAAATGGTTTTTTGCTGTTGTTATTAGGGAATAACAAATCCAAAATTTAAGAAAGTGGGTACCAGGGGCAGGAAGGAAACAGAAAGAAAGGACTGAAGAGTAATAACACCAGAAATTAGCAGTTCAAGGGTGTTCACTGTGTTATAAAATATAATTTCTACAAATCCATATATTCCTTTGTATATATCAAATATAACATAAAACAAGACAAATTAATAGATTAAAAGTGGTGAAGAGTTCTGTTTTTGAGAAGACCTGACTAGGTTGTTTTGAACCAATTTTCCCACTGGAACAAAAAGAAAGGCTGCACAAAATACTTTTTAAAAAAGTCCATTTGAAAAGAACAGAGAGCTACCAAAGCAGTGAGAATTTGCAGGGCTAAATTTCAAAAGAGAACGGAAATCAAAAGATTTGAGTCTGGCACTAAGATAAATTTTCTCACACAGATAACTGCTGATTCTGAAAGTGAAAGAAGGGGGATGAAAATTTAAGCAAAACTTTCATCACTGTCACAGAGCCAGAAGGACAAGGTTTGGAATGCTAGACCAAACAAGGAGTAGAGGCCTTGTTAAACACCCTAGACTTTTGGGTGGACCCTAAACAAATATACCCTAGACATACAGTAATCAGAAAAAGAATAAGCCTATCAAAAACTGAAGCCTAGCTTTCAGTTGGATGGAAATGATCTGATTACAGTTTAACTGCCTGCCAGAAGCGAAAGTAAATCCTCTCTGGAAGAATATAAATTCACCCAGAGCCTCCAATTATCTCAACAACTTTTCATACAAAAAGTCTATCACTCAATCAAAAACAACATATGTGCAAGACTTGACAAAAAAATTGAGAGAAAAAAATAGACAAGAGAAAAAGAGTCACAAGAGAGATAATGAGCCTAAAAGATACGAACTTTAGCATGTTCAAGGATTAAATGATAAGCAAATTCTGGCAGGGAACTAAAAGCTATGTTTAAAAACAATAATAAAATTATACAATTGAAATACATACATATATACACACACCCATATATATAAGTGCAATTAAGACTTGATGTATAAGCTTAACTACTGTAAGATAGTAAAGAGCGTGAACTCAAAGATAGGTCAGAAAAAAACAAAAACTGAAGTATGAGGAGGCTGGCAGAAAAGTGCACAAAAAGTGTGCCAGACAGCTGGGTCACAGCAAAAAAAAAGTATGTGTAAAGTGTGTAAACAGAATTTCAGTGACAGAAGAGAGTATGAAATAGTCTATGGCCAAACACCTGATTTCAAAAAGCTAAGCAGGGTCGGGCTGGTTAGTACCTGGATGGGAGAATACGAAAAAGAAACAGTAGTATCTGAAAAGATAATGCTGAATGTTATTCAAAATTTATGAAAGTAGTAAGCCATAGACTCAAGAAGAGCTATAAGCCCCAAGTAGGATATATATGAAGAAAAGCACACAGACACATCACAGTAAAACTCAAAACCAATGCAAAATAGAAAATATTAAAAGTATTCACTGCTTCAAAGACAGAAAACCTTCGGAGGAACAAGACTGTAAGCAGACTCGAAGAGAAAAGATAACAAAATGGAAGATAATGAAATAATACATTCAAATCACTGATGGGGGAAAATGTACCAGTCTAGAATTCTAAACCCAGAGAAAACATCCTGAAAAGAAGGTAAAATAAATACATTTTCAGATAAAAACTGAGAGAATTCATTGGCAGCAATCCACACTAAAAGAAATACTAAAGTAGTTCCTGAGGTAGAAAGAAAACCACCCCAAAGAAAGGAATGAAAAACAAAAGAAGAAAATACACTGGCAAATCTAAATCAATATTAACTGTGTAAAATAACAGTGGTAATATTCCTACATGAACGAGAGCACAAAAAAGCATCAGAGAATAAAAGGAACTAAAGTTTTCTAAGGTTCTCTGTATTGTACTGAAAGTTCAAAATAGACTAATTGACACTGGCCTTGAATAAATCAAAAGTACATGTTGTAATTTCTAGGGCACCTACTAAAACAGCAAAATGTAAAACTGGCCAGTAAAGGGGAAAATGGAATAAAAATATTTAATCAAACATAAGAAAAAAGAGAAAAATGGACCCATAGCTGGTAGAACAAATTGAAAATAAAAAATTAGATGGCAGATTAACCCAAATATTGCTATTTACATTGCACTTAAATTTTAGAAGACAAACTTTATCTCACATTTCTTTTATTTCTCCAGAGAACCTAGTAGAGTGCTGGGGGGACAGGAGACAAAAAACTGATGGTTATATACGGTTCTCTATGAGTATGTATGTGTATGTATATATAAATATACACATACACACACATACACATAAAACCCCATAGGAAGGTCAATTCTCCCAGACCCAAACATGCCTTACCCCAAATACACACAAACTGGAGATGAACAAAATCATTGTTTCTCTTCCAGCATTTTCTCCCAAGGCTCTTTTCATTCTCTACTACATGTAGGGAAAGGAACAACTATAGTCATGACAACCACGCTTTGAACTATATATTTTTAAAATAGATGATAAAAATTAAACTCTTATAAAGCTGAAATAGAATCAGGTGATATTTTGTATTTATCAAGCAATGTAGTTGAGGTCATACATCTATACTCAACTAAAGAGATATTTCAATGCTGTTTTACTTATAAGGGAGATACAACATATTTTTTAAAAGTGGAAAACCTAAAATAAAGGCAGCCAAATGGAAGTGTTCTTAGCATCATTTCACTTGTCTCTTTGTTGGATAAGATTTTAGAAGGTAACAGTATGAAGAGCACAAATCCAAAAAATATAAATTACCCGATCGTTCATGAGAAGATCCTTCACGATGAAAGTAGCTACCAAAGATTTCAATGGAGCAGCAAACTGATCAGGTGCAAGGAGAGCAATATGGCCAATAGTAACCAATGGTGTTATGAGATGTTCCAGATTGCTTGGATCTAAACTCTTATGCAGAGGCTGAAATGGGTGGAGGAAAATATATTCAACTTTATACATATGCAAATAAACTCTTACCATATTTCATCTTGAAATACAAAAACTACAAAAGTTTCAATAAATATACACTGTAAGTAGTAACTCAAGCTTACATTTAGACTTCTATGTCTAGAAGGCAAAAGGTTCAAACATTTTCAGTTTTGCCCAACTCACATTTTAGAGGCAGGTAAAGAAACATTAATTCAATATGAAGAATCATATTATGAAGCATATAGTTTATGACCATATATATATATATGAACATGTTAGAGATTGCTAGGGCTCACCAATATCCACTTCTCTTCTATTTCCTAGGCATAAGGACTCCACTTGCAGCCTCCTTTGCAGTTAGGTAAGGAAATGTTAATGTGCTCTGGTAAAGGGAATAGGAATACAAGTGAAGTATGCCACGCCTGCACTGAGGCAGGCATGAACATGTTTTCTCCACCAGCTCTCTCTTTACTTGATGGCTGGCTTAATGCCAGGAATCCAGTGGCACTTAAAGATAAGTCACTAATCAGAAAGAGTCTATGACCCTGAGGCACTGATTAGGAGGTTATTCACAGGCTCAACTGGACTTTCCGGGAACAAAAAAATAAGCTTTTACTATGCCTAGTCATTTAAATTTGGGGGTTTTTTATTATAGCATCAAATATTAAATATCATAATAAATAAAATGATTTGTTATTCTGATAGAAAATGCAACCATTAATATGCATTTTGTCATGACAAAAGAATGACAATGCTCTTCATATATTTATATAGAATGATATCTGAATGTATTGTTAAATTTTAAAAATCAGAAAAGCGATGAAAATATGCTATCATTGGCATAAGGGGAGAAAAGAGGAACAAAATGTGTGTGTGTGTATGTGTATTTACTTATATGCCCTTACTTGTATATGAATAAAATATCTCTAGAAAAGTACATTTAGAAACTCTTAACAATGGTTGCCTCTGGGAAAGGGAACTGGGTGGCTGGGGATAAACGAGTGGGGTGACTTTTCACTGCATATTCTTTTTGCATCGTTTGATTCTGAAGCAAGTGAATATATTTTCTATTTGAAATTCTAACGCTACATTTTAATGAAAAGTTACTGCTCTATTCTACCACACTGAACCAAACATTCAAGCCAAGAATTGTAGGCTGGAAAGCAACACAAAACTATTCTTTCCCAACATATGAGGGCGATGTGAGGTTTCATTTAGTCAAGAATATATTTAAATGAGTTTACTTCTTTTTTCTTTGGTGACTTCTCTCAATACTTCCATTGCACACCTAGCTAAGTGCCAGTTAGTTGTTCATATTATAAACAAAAATATGATGACTGTAAAAAGTTTGTTCTATTAGTTTATTATAAGTTTAATATTTTCCAAAGTTTATAAAATCATTTCTGAAAAAGCAAAATTAATGGCCAGATCCTAGATTAGCAACAACCTCCAAAAGGCCAGGTATCTCTATGAAACCTTTTCTCAGAAAGCCAGACAACCTTTTATGTTATAGTGGGAGGACTACAGGTTAGGTTCTTGAAAAGTAAGATAGCAGATATAACATTAAAATGAAAATAAAACTACCCTACAAATGCAAGTTATATTAGTATTATTATCGTAATCGTCATTGAAAGGAACAAAAAGATTATCCATGAAAAAGAAAAGTTCCTTATAAATCAACATGAATTTATTGAAGCCATTCTCACACACAAAAACAGACTACAGAAAATACCCACTCCAAAAAACACAAAAATTAAATGAATTATTTGCTATCTATAACAAAGGTGGTATTTGGAAGATAAAGACAACTACTTTTTTTCCTCCTTCAGGTCTTTAACCTGAATTGTATTTCATGTATTAATTTTCATTAATACATGAAAATATGATAAAATTAGCATAAAAGTTTCTAAAACAGAGATAACAAATCAAAGTATTTATAGTAAGGAGCTTCGGTATAATTTCCAAATTGTTTTGATTTCACTCAAGGCTCCTGATCTTTTTAGGGTTTTATAGACTTTCTACTTAGGTTTTATTTATAATAACAATACTATAGTTAGTTCCTAATTACAACATATAGCAATAAAATTGTAAGCTTGGGAGGAAAGGCTATTTAAAATATAGAGAAAATAATATGAAATATATATTGAAAAGAAATTTTATATCTGACACAAAATTAGGTCAGTCATAAAAGTATAAACTTATTCACTTTATAGTACCAGTTAGTATTGATTTATAAAATCCTATACTTCAGTAGTATCTCAAACAGAATTCAAATTTTCTGAAGCTTTTGAACTGACAGAATAATCATTTGTTACCTACTATCCATAACTATGATTTTATCTGTAATTACATTAACAAAAATGTCACTAAATATATAAATAAAGCAAGGTCAAAATATTACACTGTGCTTAATTTCTGAATTTGAGTTAGCATTAGACATCTGAATACTCAGATTATTTTCATATTTTAAGAACTTATCAATGTTGATTTACTGATTAAAACTCTGAAAATATACTACAAAATGATGCATTATCAAATGTGGACATTCCATAAAATCATCAATATTTGTTTTTTAATTAAGATATGACATACAAAAAAACAAAAAAAATGTTTTCTGATTACCTCAAATATCTGTGCAAACTGGGTCTCTTTACTAGAAAATATTGCATGGATACAATGAATGGCATATTTCGCTTGACGAGGGGGTCCTTTTTTAGATTTGTGATGTAAAACAGGAAGCAAGGCTCTAAAAAAAAAAATCAAAGAAAAACAATCAACCAAAAAAACCAACATGATTTCTACTAGATTCTTTAATGTTTGTATTTTTTAAGTAATGTTTTGAAAGAAAAAAAAAAATCACCAAGGTCTACTCAGACTCATTTTCAATGGCCTATAATTTTGCTTTGTAAATATTTCTATTAAAAATATAATCCAAATACAAGTATTTTGTTTTTTACTTCCAACAATTATAAACATAAACAAGGCTGGTGACCCACTCCCTCTTTCTTTTTAATGTCACTTGCATTAGGCCCTTCTTTTTTATCCTCACTGCTATCATTCTCGCTAAGCTTTTGCCACATACGATGAAATTTAAACTGTCCCTTCTTTCTCAAGTTTCTGCCTCTTCCAATTCACCTTTCCCTTTGTGCCAGAACAACTTACATAAAGGAAAATCTTAACAATCAATGCTTATTAAGCATTATGTGCCAGACATTATTAAAGGCTCCAAATCCTTGCCATCGTGCTACTAGCATTTTAGGGATAAGACAAATGATAACAAATATTTTATGTTATGTCAAATTGTGATAGCTGCTACAGTGAAAAAAGAAAAGACAAGAAGAATAGGAATAGGCAATGAGGAGGGGGTATAAGAGTGTTACAACTTTAAACAGAAGACCTCTCTGATAAACACTTGAGCAGAGTTCTGAGGGAGGTAAGGAGGAAAACAGGTATCATATAGCACTCTACCACTCAGATACTTAAAATGAATACTGAATGAAGCAGGAGCTCTTAGTTCAACTATTAGTCAAACATCTCCCAGCAAATGCAACTTCTGTATCTTCCTCATTGCCCAATACTAAAACAGTGCTATGGTACTAAGAATTCAGAGGTACAATAATTCATCACACTAAGAGTAGTCTCCCAAAAGACATCAATAGCAAAGTATAATAAAAAGACAAATATTCCTAATGTAATAATAGAGAATGAAAAGACCAACAATACCATAGAAAAATGGACTGGATATAAAAAGGTAGAAAGCTCTTCAAAAGAATATATACAAATTACTCTGAAATGTATGAAAAAAATGTTTACCCCCGCTCATGAAAAAGAAAATTAAAACTACAACAAGAGGACTTCTGCTTCAGATTAAAATGGTGTAACTGAGGCTGGATTTACTATCTTACCTTAAACACCCAGAAAAGATAAATATGGTAAAGGTTTCAGACACTAGACAATAGGCAGCACCAAAACAAAAACAATAACAAAAAGACCTAAGTAGGATATTTATAGGAAACTTACTTTAAATAATAAGTCCTAGGAAAATTAAAAGATTAAAAAAAGGAAGAAGATAAGCTTTACAAACACTAATACAAAAGAAAGAAGGAATTGCTATGCTATTCTCAAATCAAGAGGAGTACAGAACAAGGATGATGACCAGGGTTAATCAGAGACACATTTCATAACAACGTTGTCTGTTGGCAAGGCTATGGGGAATCGGGCACTCTTATACACTGCAAGTGATAATGCAAAATGGTATAACCACTATGGGATGGGAATGTAGTAATAGCTAGCAAATTTATATATGCATTTACTCTTCTAAGAATCGCTCCCAAAGATAACTGCCAAAAACACAAAAGATACATTCACAAGGCTATTCACTACACTATTTATAATACTGAAAACAACCAAAACGTCTATAAATAAGGAACTGCGTAAATAAACTATGATATATCCACAAAATTAATGGAGATCTCTCTATATTTAAATATGGAATAACTTCCAATATATGTGAAGAGACAAAAGGTAAAGAGAAATGTGTGTAGTATATTTTCTCTATCAAAGGGAATATACAAATACACATATATATATTTACAAATATACAGATAGGTGTATAGAAGGACTTTTTTTTT